AAAATTTGGATGGTGTAAGTCGCTTATTGTCCCCCAAAATTACGAGTATTATGTCTGATTCCGAAGATCATTGTTGCCTACCAAGTCCACTGCAGTTTACGAAGCTTTTGAGCTTTTGACTTTTACTCTTTTGTGCTTTCTGTGATAATTTTTATTCTTTTTTCTTTCTTCTTGTGAGATAAAAAAGAAGAAGAAGAATTTTAATTGTAATATAATATCCGGTGGAAACCTTTTTATTAAATTACCATAGTAAATGGCTATAAAATGGTTTTTCGAATGTTTTAATAGTTTTTGAATTATTATGTTTTAGATCTGGTCATATAATGGCTAGTAAATATGTATTGAAGATATGAAATATTACTGAATTTTTTAGTAAAAGCAACAAAACTACTATTAACGACTTAAACTGCGACAAAACAAATATATTTTTTCTTTTACGCAATAAAATCACTGGCATCTTAAAAAAACAAAATATTAATTTAAATATTTTTCAACTTCGTAAATAAATTTAAAGATTTATTGATTAATTTTAATAAAACATGAATATTGAGAATAAAAATATCTTAATACTTATATATATATATATATATATATATATATATATATATATATATATATATATATATATATATATATATATATATATATTTAGCTTATAAATTCCCGAACAACAAATAATTCCAATCGCATACCATGAATGTTTATGACCAAAGCTCCTCATTTACTCTTTTACTCTTCAAACAATTTAAGAAACTATATTTTCAACTGCTTAGGGGACAAATAGGAATTAGAAATGTTTTCTAAGCCCTGCCCATTGTGATATTAGAGCTTACGTAGTTTGTTGCCAGTTAGTAGGTGAATCAATCATTGACGATTGTATCGTCCTACGGCTGTCTTTGTTCAATATATGCTGGTGAGTATGGACAGGCGGCTTAGGTTTATCAATTTAACTTCTGTGAGTAGAAAAGGGACTTAATATAAAAAGTAATTCGTAAATATTGCCATACTTCTGCAAAGATTGAGCAGATGGACTATATCTTCATTTTTATCGATGAAAACGATGATACTTCACTTCAATCTGTCAGCTTCATCTCTGTTATCCATACCTCTTTAACCACCTTATGCGTTTCGCCAATTAGGGCTTCTTCTTTTTGTTTAGAAAACTCGAGAGGTCATGTCTACGTAAAGTTTTGTGGTTTACCAGAGATTTTTTTTAACTTGTATATTTTCTTTTATTTCTAGAAAATGTCTGTTAATTCGTGCAATCTCTTTAACTTCTGTGTTTTTGGTATCATTTAGCAGCTCCTAAAATGCTGTGGTCATTTTTTAATCATAGCTGTTTATCCCCGATGAGTTTATCTGATTTTTCTATCTGCAGAAAATTCCATTTGGTTAAAAGCCTTTCCTTTCGTTCTTTACTTGCTTCCTTCACTCTAAAAAGAAGAAACAATTCGAATAAAATTCAGTAACACAGCAATTAGGCAAAATATTTTACCGCATTTTTACTGTCGTATTTTTATTTATTGTATTCGTATTTTTATATTTTATATCCTTTTAAATCGTTTTTATACTCCTGCTAGGAAGTATTGAAAATTTTTTATTTTAGATTACCAAAACTCTAAACTTGCATCCGTAAATCATCTTAGATATAGAATTGTTCGTTCTATCTAATCCCATATATCTTGCCATTTTCAAGTCGCGATCGAACCAGAAAATTGTAAATCAGTCGCCGTCATCTTCAGCTTGTCCTCTTGCAAAACGGAATATAATAATATATTCTTATTTTTCTGAGTACTGGGATTCTGATTCCGATGCAATTCAGCGAAAGTTTATCGGAATTCCATGACAAATAGAATTTATTTTGTATTGGAAATAAAGTTAGGGATACTATTCAGATTTCTGCAGTTGATGAAAAAGGAATTCGACATTGGAATTTTTTATTAGTCTAGACAGTTTAAAATTGTAAATAATTTTTTGAAGTACGGCTATTTGTTAAATAAATTATTTATTACAAATTGTATTTGAGATGTATACAGAGTGTCCAGAAACACTCCTGACAAACCAAAACAGATTCCTCAGATAATTTTAAGACGATTTAATCCAATTCGCCTAGACCGAGCTGACAAGACGAAGAAGCTAAAATTATAGAGACACAAAATTCTCTAAAATTATTTACAGCTGCCTAGAAGATATATTTAAGTCAATGACTGGGAAAATAGAGAAATCCCTGTTAACGAAAGATACTTGAACCATCTTAGATAAGTATTTGATGTAGTACTAATAGCCGACACATGGAATGCGCTGAATAGGATGATTGAGGAGCTACACACAGAATTCCTAAACAAGGACTAGAAATGAATTTCAGCAAAACTAAACTAATGATAAAGATAACAAACCTATGATAAACATCCAAGGGATAGAACATTAAGATAAATATACATATCTGGGTCAAAATGTCAAGGTAAGCAAAAAAATCAGACTACCGAATTAAGCAGACGTGTAAAAATGGAATGGGCAGCATTCGAAAGATTCTCATTCCTCTTCTTATGGTGATCTATCCAATTAGTGGATGTTGGCGACAATTCTGGAATACTCCTCTCGATCTTGTGTGGCTCTAAAAAGTGCATGGGCATCGAGATTTGTCCAATCCCTTATGTTTTTAAGCCATGAGTATTTCTTTCTTCCGATACCTCATTTTTTCTATCTTCCCTTCCATAATAAGCTTTAAGGACTGGAACTTGGAATTTTGAAATATATGACCCAGATAAGCAGTTTTCTTCTTTTTATTTTTCTCTTATTCTTCTACTTTTTGTAGATCTTTCGATCTGATTAATTCTGAAGCTGCCTCTGGTTAATTTCTTGTGAGGTAGATTGCCAACTATCCCTCCATCTTTTAGATGGTCTTCCGGGGGGTCTTGAACCGGGCGGATTGTTTTCTAGGGCAATTTTTGGGAGCAATTCTTTTTATTATTGGCAGCAATTCTCATTCTCTGCCCAGTCTATTTAATACTTGGACATTTGTTGTGTGATCCGTCCAGGGAATTTTAAGTAGTCTTCTAAATACCCACATTTCAAAGGCCTCCAATCGGTTCATCACATTGGCCTTTATGGTCCAGGTTTCTTCACCATATAGCAGTATGGGGTAAATGTAACATTTTACAAAGCGATATTAAAGCATTATGTTGAGGCTACTGTTGCTTAGCAAGGTTCTCATATTAGTAAATGCTGTTCTGGCTTAATCAATCCTGCTGCGTATCTCTATGTCTGGATCTAGATCTTCAGTTATTCAACTACCGAGATATCTGAACTTAAGGACCTTTTGGATGTTCTTGTTGTTTACTCTTATATTCAATTGCATATTTCGTATTCTACTAACCACCATTACCTTCGTCTGGTCTATATTAATCTTCAAGCCCACTCGTTCTCCTTGAGTATTTATTCTATCTAGTAGTCGTTGTAGCGCTTCTTGGCTATCAGCTATTATGCCTGTATCATCAGCATAGCAAAGATTACTAATAGTCTGTCCGTTAATTTTGATTCCATCTTCAGTGTCACTTAAGGCTCTATCGAAAATCGTTTCAGAGTACAGATTAAAAAGGAGTGGTGACAGAATACAACCCTGTCGTACACCTTTTTCGATTGAGAAATATGATGTAGATTTCAGTCCTACTCTCACAGATGCCATTTGATTCATATAAAGGCTCTTTATGATTTTAAGGTCATTCTCATCTACTGAACGTTCCTGGAGCAATCTTATTAATTCTGAATGATTAACACAATAAAGAAAGACTCTCATACGTACTTAAAAAATAAAAATATACCTCAAACACTACGAACCAAAGTGTTCAATTCCTGTATTCTACCTGTACTTACATATGGATCTAAAACCTGGACATTCACTACAATAAACATAGAGAAAATCAGAAAAACTCAGGGAACTATGAAACGGCAGATGCTGGGTACCTCACTCAAAGACCATAAAACCAATGAAGACATTCGTAATAGAACAAAAGTTAAAGATGTTGTCGAACAGGCTGCTAAACCAAAATGAAAGTGAGCTGGATATAACGAACGTCCGACGGATGGCCGATGAAATAAAGAAATCGGGAATTGGCGGCCATATGAAGCCAAAGTACCACGAGGAAGACCGCAAATGCGCTGGAGCGACGATATTAAAAGAACTGCAGGACCAATGTGGAAACGTCTTACAAACAAACAGAAATAAATGGCGAAAATTATAAGAGCCCTATATTCGGCAAACCAAATAGAGAAAGGGGCTTAAAAAAAACCTAGTCCGAAAATGCTTCCTAAGGGAGCTAGAGCTCTTTGAAGATGGCACCTTGTAAGTAGTTTTTTAAAAAATCTATACCGCTTCTATTTAGAAAAATAAAAACTGGTACGATTTTTTATCCCACAGAGTTGAATCGATTGCATTATTTGAGAATTTCTAGTTTCGTTCATAGGCGTTCGTTTTGGGTAGGTCAACGGGTATTTTAATGCCTAACTTTTTTATCTGTAACTTTTTAAGCATTTATGATACTAGATTAACAAATTTTCAGATATTCTAGTACTAAAAGTTAGTCCTACTTTAAGTTGGTAGGCTACATGGTTTTCGAGAAAAATCATTTTGAAAAAATTTTTAGTTTTTTCGTCACGAAAGTGAAATTAATATTTTTTTGCACTAATAGGTTGTGAACTACCAACAGAACTATAACCTACGTTTTTCATTGTCAAACTCTTGTCAGTACGTGAAATTTATCTTTTAGTTTTTACTTTGTGGCGTTCAAACACAATAATTTTACCTCAACAAAAATGTTTCTTACTAATGAGGAATACGCTGATATACATTTTGGTTTATTGCCAAAATGAGGTGTAACGCTTGAGCAGTAAAGTAGATACGCTGAAAAATTTCCCGGTTAGGAGAAACAAGTTCAGTGTCCCCAAAAAATAATGACACAGAGCGACATAATAATGTAACAGTACTTGGATATGTCACTTTAATGGAAGTTTATGAAAATTTAGAGACAACGACAAACATGAACCAAAAAATCAAGAATGGTGGTCCTAGAATATGCAAACGTTAGTAAACAAGAAGAAAACTGCTTAACAGATATGTATGTTAACGAGAAAGGAGGAAGATTACAAGATATTAAAAAAAATTAAATCGAGATGTAACAGGAGAAGTAGTGAAAAGAAAAATGGGATGCGGGATCAAATATGTGCAGAAGTGATAGGTATATGGGTGGAACTAGAATTGGACGACCATGAAAGGTGATAAAGTCTATCCGGAGGGAAGGAAAGGAGAATATAACTTACAGTTAATAGATCTAAAACAGTGAAAACACCATTATGAGGTCTTACTGACAGAAGATAGATGTAAATTCCAAAAGATCGAAATGGAAGAAATATCCGAACATACACAAATAATTGAGATAACAACCGGTGAGTTAAACGATGCCCTCAAAAGATTCTAAAAACCGTAAAGCAGCAGGACCTGGAGACATCCCAATTGAGTTGGTAAAGTATGGACCAAAAATATTACATGAGATGTTGGTTCAACTATTTAACAAATGCTTTAAAGGCCAAAATATCCCTGGTGATTGGAATGTTGGATACATCAGCTCAATATTCAGCTCAAAAGAAAGGGGATAAACGCAAACGCTCTTATTATAGGGGAATAACTGTTATCAGCTCAGTGGGGAGGTTGTGCGGTCGAATAATAAAAGAAATAATCAAATCAGAATACGAAGACATAGGAGAACAAAATTGATTTCATGCAGGAAGCTCGTGCACTGATGGTATATTCGTTCTGCAGCAGGTAATAAAAAAACGGAAGGCAAGGAATCTATCTACCCACCTATTGTTTGTAGATTTAGAGAAGGCATACGATACGGTACCTGTACCTGAAAAACTGTTTCAAATATTGATGAAAGTAAGTCTCAGAAGAGAGTATGTGGATGCCATCGAAAATATATACCTACATAAATGTAAGAAGTGTATTTAAAGAAGAAAACTTTATATCCGAATCAGTTTCAATAATAAAGGGGCTTAAACAAGGACGTCGTCTATCTCCGACCTTATTTAAAATATATATTCAATCATCGCTAGAGCAATGGAGGAAACAAGTATCGAGAATGGGAACATATATAGGCAGTGGTAAATGTCTAACAACTTAATTTTTCGCAGATGATCAGGTAGTCGTAGCGAATCATGAGAAAGACATAGACTACATGTTTAGAAAACTAAAGAAAGAATATGAAAATGAAAATATGAAATGCAGCCTCAATATGAATATGTCAAAGACAGAGTATCTTAAAATAGAGGATAAAAAAGATCCAGAGTTAGAAATTAGAAGCACAAAAACATGTAATGAATATAAATATCTCGGATCTATAAAATCTAAAAAAGGCACTACCAAAAGAGACATTGAAATCAGAATGCAGAATAAAAATGCGGTAAACAGTCTAAACTGTCTACTATTATCTAAAGATATTAGATAAGAAAAATTCTCTCTCGAACCTTGATAGAGCCTATTATGATTTATGGGGCAGACGTTTGTGAAGCTTATAATAACTCATCTTTTATAAGTTTCAATTACTCAAAAAAAAATCCCACCATAAAAGGTGATTGACAGAAAGTCGAAAGGGACTGCATTGCAGTTAGTGAAGATGTCATAGGACATATGCCTATGTCGGAATTACCTCTTCTGTCAATAGAGAACAGAATATTTATTAGGAGCAGAAAAAGAGAGGGCGCATATTTATGATACTGGGAAGAAAGAGAGAGAGGAAGAGGGCAAATATTTATTCTACGGGACAGAAGGAGCAAGAGTGGGCGCCAACTACTTTTTGAATAAAAAAGATGTAACGTTTATACCGTTACAAATTATATCCTTTCTACAAGCCATACAAGCATTTGGATAATACAGTTTGTACCCATTATATATATTTTTTATTGAACAGTGAAGATTATCTATGAACTAAATAACAGTGAAGCGACTTATTACTAATATTTTAACTACAAGAAATATCTACATTATACATAATACACAAATTTATTTTTTATGTGAATGAATTTCGAAATTTGGGATAAAGTATAATTTTATTTTCATATAAGTATTTTTTATTCATAATCTAATGACAGGATATAAAACGGTTTCTTTCTTATGATATGATTTTATTTGTAGTTTCGTACAATCACTTCTCATTTGTAATTTAATACCTTAAACACAGACTTTGTATTTCGTTTTTTTTTTTGGAATGACGTAACCTTTTAACGTAGAATCTTTTTATTCGTTACAAATAATAAAGGTTAGCTTTGTTTTAAATTTTTCATTTTATTTCTTTGTCTGAGCTCGTTTCCTTGCGCGGGTAAACTATTAAAATATAGCACCAAATGTGTTTTAATTTTTAATATAATACAAACAGCTTCTATATCATTAGCGAAAAGAACCACACCAATTATTTTTTAAGCTTATTCTCTAATATATTAAGTGAATAATTTGTTTTAAAAGTTGTGGACATGTTTTTGTCTTACATGTCTTAAGATTTTGTCTTAAATGTCTAAATATGATAATATTAATAGATTAATAGATAATTAATAGGAAATAAACATGTTATATCCTATTGTTCGGCACCTTGAAAGATATTTATGTCCCTTATATTTTTTAGTTATCAATACTTACTCTACCCTACAAAACACTTGTTGTTTTTAAATTTGAATAATTAAGAATAGTATGGTAAGACTATATTGTTTTCTTGAAGGTAGAAAAGCTCTTCATAAATAAATAAATTGTGGGGAACTTGAAATTTTACCATTGCTCATTTTACGTCTATTTTATTCAGTAAAATACAGTAAGACATTGGAAAACTTATATTTTTGTAACAGAAACAACTTTTAAAATAAACAGAATGTTCTTTTACAAAGTTTTATTAACTTGTACCGTTCATGTGTACTATAAGTAAACTGTAAAGTTTGACATATTGTTGGAAAATATCAATTATATATTGTAAAAGTTTTGACCGCTATGTAACTATTTTTGTATATCACAGATAACATAACAGATGGCAGAAAAATAAATAAGATTAAATATAATAGACATTATTTGAAGCCTATTTAAAATAGAATATCAAAATATACGAAGGACAACGAAGTAAATGCGATTCCAAGTTAATTAAAAATATTCTCTAGTATCATGAAAAAATCATTGTTTTTAAAGATTCTGAAAAGTATATTAGGGATAGCTGATGACAAATCCTTGAAGACGTACAGTTGATTTTGCTTTGTTTTTTTTTAACCAACATAAAAAGTGAAAAAATAATTTTTGAGGATTGCAAAGAATGCAAAGAAATTTGCATTCTCGACTTCCTGTACTGTTATTTCATCGTCTTCACTGAATTCCAGTTCATATGTTGTTGTACTGATGTTCGTGAATTGAGGTCTTGTTTTAGTCAAAAGGTGTGAGTAGTGTTTGATCCAAGATCTTTCTTCTATTAAATCTATGCTACTCGTTTCTTTTCTGTTTTTTCTCAGATTTTTTACCGTTTTCCATGCTTCTCTTGATCTTGTTGACCCTATATATTTCTTGAGTTCTTCGCATTTACTTTCCCAGGAAATATTTTTTGCTTTAGTTACTAAATTTTTTACTTCTCTGTTTGATCTTGCATATGTTCGTCTATCATCTGAATTATTTGTTTGCAGCCACTTTTAATACGCTTGTTTATTGTTGTGTACTGCATTGGCGATGTCATTTGTCCACCACAATGGAGTATTCTTTTTGTTCTTTTGGATTGTGCCGAGCGCTTTGTAAGCTGCTTCATTGATTTTATTGATTATCTCTTTATAGGTATTCTGGGCTGAGGAGTAGATCATGTTTGCCATTTTGTGGCTAAGTCGCAGCTTGTATAGGAATGATATTGTGTCGTTTTGCAGTGCATCAATATTGTATTTAAGTAGATTCGATTCCAGGGGTTTGGACTGGGCTAGTTGGTTGTCATTTTGATGTAGTAGCCGAGGTCGATACTGTAGGTAACATTTTGATCTTATCATATAGTGGTCAGTTACGCACTCTGATCCTCTTAATACTCTTATGTCTTCAACTTGTATATGTGTTTATTGTTTTGTGATGACATAGTCTATAATTGACTTTGTGTTTCTCGTTGGTTGAACCCAGGTGTACTTATGTATGTTTTTATGTTGGTAGAATCCGTTTAGGATTTTCAGAGAGTGCTGTTCACAGAATTCAATTAAGTGTTCCCCATTTTCATTTGTTTTAGCGTCACCATATTTGCCATTTTGTCATTTGTCAACGACTTTGTCATTGGTTTTTGTTCCTGTCCAAACGTCAAAATCTCCCAACAACACAATTTCTTTGCGGCTATTTATATTTTCAATGAGTTCCGATAAAGTTTCGTAGAATATTTGTGTAACTGCTTTTGACGCATTTTCTGATGGAGCATATATTCGATCTTAATGATCTCGAGGTCGTGCCCTTTCCACGTAATAGATACTCTAATAATTATCTCATTGATCTGCTCCCAGCAGGTTTCCTTTTAAGTCTTTTTTTATCAATATTGATACCCCTGCTTGTGCTCTGTTGTCTTTCTCTACTCCGCTATAAATATGTATAAAACCTCCTATGTCTTCACTACCTTGGCCTTTTTTTCTTTGTTTCGGTAAGAACCCTGATATCTGATTTTATTTTCTTTACTTCTGCCATGACTTCGTCTTTGTTGGAATATCTACCCTTGGATATTCCATGTATTTATATTCAAAGTCCTTGTTTGTTTGCTACGTCGTCTTCGTTTTTTCCCGTCCGTATTCCGAGGTTGTATTTTAGATTTTTTTTAGTAAGTTTTTTACGGGTGTAGACGAGCAGGCCCTACGTCCCAACCCCCTACCAGGAGGATCAAGATTTTCTGTTGGGGTTTACTCCCTTAGTAAAGAGAAGAGTAGTAGAGTGTAGTAGACAGAATTATTGTGATCCTTCCGCCCTCGGATTACCCTAATAGCCACTGGGGGGTCGGAAAAACAAGAGTTGGCCAAGAGAGGCCGATAGGAAAGATTAAAGACATTTCACTCAAGACAAGTTAAAAAAGAGCAAAATGTGAAGGTCCCTTAATCCGCCAGGTGCGTTTCATAAGCGTATGAGTATTGGTACACTTTGTATTTCCGCTCATACCTTGGGGTGTGGACTACAGACTGTATGGCTGGTCCAGCATGCCATAGCATGGAGGATAGCGTGCATGTCATTTTTACAATGTAAAAATATCCTAATATAAAAAACTTTCCTATACTCTCCTCCAATGTAAAAAAGCTAAACTCCACGGCCTAACATTCTGCATTATATTATAAAAGAAATAATGTTAAATACATTAATAGGCCGTGTGCTGACCTAAATAGTAGACGGTAGTACAACTTTATTGTTACAAAAGAATACAAAATAATGATTTATACTTGCTTAAAATAAAAGCAAAATGCTTTTATTGTTTGACATCAGAAGTTAATTTAAAAAATATTAAACTGAGAAAATTTTTGAAAAGATGATTGCAAAATAAACTAAACATTACATTAATCTTAAAGTTTTCTTGTCTCAACATTAAAATACTAAAACTATTTATGAACAAAATTCTTAACCTGTGAGAATCATTATGAAAATATGTTATATTAATTAATATTGTGCTGAAACTATTTTCTTGTGGTATTTTGAAGTAATTACTATTTAGATGGGAATAAGCCACAATTAAAGATTAAAGTACGTTTACTGACGTTTCAATTTTCATTTCGGAAATCGTTCTCCAAATTCAAACATTAGTAAATTAAACGATCTTTTTTTGGAAAACAACAAATAAAGGATTCTTTACTAGATCTGAGTATAAACATTAAAAATAGTGGCTTATTTATAAGTAGTAGGATAAGTACCGTATTATCCACCCTCTAATGTCTACGCCATCTATTTAAAAATTTTATTCAACATGGACAACATCATTGTTGTCCATTTATCAAGTAACTAAGTTCTCGAAAAGGACCGCCTTTATAATTAAAAACTCGATGTTTCGACACCCGTTTTGGAGCCATTATCAAGAAGGATATGGTTCCGTTCGAGTTCGGGTCTCAATCTGCCTACTCCCTTCACTCGTGACGTACTAATATCAGCCTACTTTCAAGTGTCAAAATGACGACCAGTCTTATCCTGTGTAGCTGCTTTTATAACCTCAGTATGCGCGGGAACGGTATGCGTGGAAACGGTCTGGATGGTATAGATTGTCAGATAAGTTGAGCCAGTTTGCGTTTTTGGGTTTAGAATTTGTTGTAAGAAATATGTTGGACTTTTTGATGAGAAAGACGATTAAAAGTATCTCAGAATATTGGATGAATATTGTGAGAGTGGATGTCATTATAGGTTTTAAAAGGTCGGGAATTTGTCGTGTTAATTTGCATCGGGTAGAATGAATTAAATTTCTAAGATGCGAAAAACCAGTTGCTCTAATCATGACATGATGAAGAAAATTTATTATCAAACCCACCAGGTTTCCGAGTTAAACCGAATCTTATTTAAGTACAGATTAACTTCGATTTCCTCGAAGCTTCCTTGCTCTATGTCTCTGCAGCCCCCAGATCACTTCCCTTGTACACTGTTCACTGACGAACAATAGTGCAGTTAAAATAATTAATAGAAAAGTAATTCAGGTTATTTTGAAATAAAAATAATAAATTTTGTATCAATTTGTTATTTTATTATCATTCATTTGTATTTCTTTCTTTAAAGGCACTACTGGTTGTTGGACAAGAGTGGAACCAGCTACTGGTATGCTAGAACCACTGGGAGCGTCCCAAGAATTAAGACTGGATAATGTAATTTATCAAGAAGGCGGTGAATACCGCTGCGTTGGGCCTACAAAGGAAGCAACGAGAAGATTGGATTTTCTGAGAAACGCCATGTCTGTACAAGTACTTGTAACAGGTAAGTAAATAAGTTTCATTATTGTATGAAAATTATGAATAAAATATACTTATATTCAAGACTCATTTAATAATTTAATAGATACTTTTTTAAAGAAAACTGATCTTTTTCTTCTTCTTCGGGCGACTAGGATTACTCCTGTTTGTCTGCCTCTTATTCTGTTTTAGTCGTTGTTGACTGTACATTATCTTTCCACCTTTTTGGCGGTCTTTCAACGGGTCTGTTGCTATACGGCTTGTTATTTTTACAGATGTTTGCTAATCTATCTGGTCCCATTCGGTTTACATGTTGGTTCCAGTTTTGTTTTTTCTTGTTTTTATCCACCTGTTAATATTTTGAATTTTGCATTGTTTGCGTATACTTCTGTTGGTTTGTCTGTCCCTTAATGATATGCCCACTATTGATCTTAATAGTTTCATTTCGATATTGTTGATTTGTTGTTTCGTCTTTCTTGTATCAGTCATTGTCTCCGCTGCATATGTTAGGATTGGTCTTACTGTTGTCTTGTATACTTTCATTTTGCTTTCCGTGGTCAGATATTTGTTTCTCCATATGGTTTCTCGGAGGCAACCGCTTACTCTTGCTGCTTTTGATGCTTGCCTTATATCCCTTTCACTAGTAATCTCTATACCTAGGTAATTGAATTTCATTACTTGTTCTACAATTTTGCCGTCTATTTCTAGCTTACATCTACGCGGCTCTTTACTGATCACTATACATTTAGTTTTTTCCACTGATATTCTCATAATAAAAAAAAAACTGATAAATCTGTTAATTACTTAATACATATTTTTATTAATTTAATATTGATTTGTTATTTGACTAAAGTGTTTTACTGTCCCAAGTGTTGTCAACTAGTAAGTTGTCAATTAGACAAGGCAAAAAACTCGGGTTCGTTAAGAAAAATATTCTCATACGATTTTTTTTTGGCATAATCACTGTCATAAGATTGCGCCCTGGCAAGTTATTCAAAATGTTAACCAATTTCTTTTCTAAACAAATTGTTACAATAATTTTTTTTCAATCAGAGGAAGATGACTCTTTAGACATTCTTTGGCACAGCTGATTCGCCTTCCTTCAACCAGGCAGCTATTAGTATACCAATTACTTTTTAAATGTGATTTTTACAACTTTAAAAGGGTTTTGACTCCTATAACAAAGGCGTTGGTGTACTAATAATTTTTTTTGTATTTTGTGTTGACAATCCCTCTTCCATGAGGTATTTGGAGCCTATAAGACGAAGCTCTGAAGACGGCATGTTACATGCCGAAAGTACTTACTGATTCGAATAAAAAATTTTACAAAGTATCAAGTTTTATTGGGAACATACACCTGTTATCAGTTTGACCTATATTTTAGAAGTATGTACAAGTTATACAATCTTTTTCCAATCTCTTATAATTGATTACAATTATATCAAATATTTTGAAGTTTTGCACTAAATCCGTATTTGTGTATGTAATTAAAGTTTTTTTATGTATACTTTATGTATTTATTCAATCATTTGATTAATAAATATATAATAGAAATATCAAAATTATTCTATATTAAATTTTGTTTTAGGCTATAAAATGTCGCAAACTGTAAAAACTCTGCAGACTTTTTTGTTAGATTTGTAATAAGTTAGTCTGAAAACACAACGAAATATAATCAATCAATCAATAATCCTTTTTATTTCTCATTCAGAAAATACATTATTCTCTTTTAGCGTATATATTATAGCAGCATTCTCTCTATTTTATTTGTTCTCCTTCGCACATGCCATCAGAAGGGTTGGCAAACAAATATTATTATTCTAAAGGATAATTCTTTCTAATTATATCTAACAAGGTCATTATAATCAATTAACACTAAATTAAATAATTAGTCATTCATATAAACGTTATAGTAATAAACTAAATGTGTATATTCTGCTGAGTAAGACTTGGCCCAGACATAACAGAAGATGAGGTATTAGAGGCGATAAAGCGAACAAAGAATAACAAGGCAACAGGTCCTGACGAAATACCTGTAGACATAATACGGTTAATAGAAGAACAGCAAATTGGAATATTGGTCGACTTATGGTCCCTGTCATACAATACAGCACAACAACAAGAAGAACCACAAATGAGCCAAACAACAACAAGAGCTCCACTCGCTGAAGGTGCTGCGCTGGAACATCAGCCGGCGCTCACTCAAGCGGGACGACCGAGGCAGCGATTAGATGCCAAAATTATGCTATACCAGTTGCTTAAGAATGTGAACTGGTTGACTTAAAGGAAGTCACAAATCTATATTGTTTGGAATTCCAATGAGTTTAAGTAAACTTCAAAATCAGAAATATGATGCTACGTTTGTATTATTTTAACACGGACATTCAAAAAAAAATTATTATCCACACATCTGCAAAGAGACCAGTTCCTTGTGATAAAGGCACTTTTTACAGTAGCTTTAAAAGATAACAAAAGATGAATGGTAAATATTTCTGGTCAACAGACTCAATCGGGGTTTGTTTCTAAATGTACTTTCTCATCTTACTATACTTTATCTCGATTTTAAGATTCAGAAGGAGTAAAATGATAACAGAATCTTACTTTTTAAAGCAATCCGATTTGTATAGTCTTGTTAGAGATTTAGGACTATCAAAATCTAAGGCTCATTAACTTATATAAGGGATCAATATTAAAACAGTGAAATTTGTTAGAACAAGAATTTAAGAATCTCATATTTTTGCAAAAGATAAGAAAATTTTACTAGTTACGTTTCCAAAGATTAGGATTTGGTTTATTGTAATCAAACTGCAGGGCTTCTTCAAGAACTAAATTTCTCAGAAAAATATGAAAAATAGAGACTTTTTATTAAGATATTTTATTGAAGATTAGTTTAAAAGCCATCTTACTTTTATAAAGTGATAAATACCCTTCAGGAACCCTTGCGCATTCAACAAACATGAAAGAAGAATATACAAATTTTTAGTTATTACTTGAGCAAATCAAGTAATTCTAAATACCTACGAAGTATTATGTGCTTATCTGAAAGTCGTAGCTTTACTTAATGGCATATAGATAGGATATACGATGTTTTGTTGTTTTTGGTGTGAATGGGATATTACTTAATACAACATTATCCAAAAAGACAAAGCTTTACACCTGTATCTCAAAAATCTCTAGTGTCACTAGACTTTCTACCACCACTTCACATAACGCTGGAATTCACAAAATTTTTTGTAAAAGCTGTGAAAAAAGCAATTTTTGTTGGTACGTAAATACGAGAGCTTATGACAGATCTAGCTTTTAATTTAATGGTAAAAGAGCTTGTCAAGCTCTAATATAATTTTCTTGGCAATTCGAACGATAACTACGGAGAAATCATTCAAGAACTTTTTTGTGTTTAGGAAGATCTAGGATGTAACAAGGTTTTTTTACATTTGAACTTTAATTTGCTTCTTGAAAATCTGGGTGCTGCATGAGATGAGCATGGTAAAAGATTTTACCAGGATTTATTGCACATTGGATAAAGCTACAATAGAGAATAGTCAGCAGCAATGATTGATGATTGATTGTGTCTCTTGGCTGTTGATCTATTTACCGAGAAACTCTGATTAACGCAATGAAAAGAAAGAAACTACAAAACAACTTGGATTTTATCATGTTAATGGGATACATCTTTCATGAACTGTACCTAAACAAATATATTTTACTGTAAAATATCAACATATTAATTTGTACCCAGTAAATTTCATATTTGGAATACCAAACATAACGTTATTTATTATGTATAAAAATAAAAATGAGGAAACATTTTTTTGCAGACCAGTGTAAGTGCTTTTGTCTATCTTCACTATTTTTATCTTATGTTTTTTTTCTTTCTCTCTTCTATTATTTTACAGTTATTTAAAGAAATTGACGAATTTTTTTCTTAATCTTTTTTACGAGAAAACTGTACAAGAATAAAACTACCAAAATAAAAAAATAAGTATTAAAAATATCGTCGAAAGAAGCAATGCCAATTCTTCTTATTTACCTTTTGACCTTTTCTCCACCAACGCGTATCAAATAACATTTCACTAAAGAAAAAATCTTTCGAGATAAAAGAGAAACTTCTTTCTCGCTGAGACAATTCATCAGCCTAAAAGACTGGCCTACTTCGTTTACGAGCCCTGTCTCTCCTTTTGTAAGTTAGACAATAGAAATCCACTGTCGTCCTGAGCACAATAAATTCCTCTCCCATTTATTTACTGAGTTGTAACTCAGATACATTATTACGAAATCTAGTTAGCTGCCACCATAAATCTACGTTCTGCTATTCGCACATTTCATTAAGTCATCACGGGCATATCGAGAAATACAATTCATCTTAAGCTTTGTGGTCAGGTTAGATTGAGATATTTGTGGCTACTCCAAGATACGGAAGTGAATAATTTCTAAATAGAATCATTGTCATAGGTAGGTAACTTACTAAAAATAACACTAGTATTCCACGAATTCCGTTCTTAATCTAGTTAGAACAAATATAAACATTAATAATGACTAGTTTTATTACAATATTTGATCGAAGCATTGATAAGTTAAATCCTCTGGAATCTGGATCCATCGAAGAATTCTGCCAATAAGATGGGTAACGATTAGGGTTCGTAACGAGGTTTTGCTGCAGATGTAAAAAGTTACGGTCAGAACAGTTAAAAATCGCTAACCTTTAATATTTTGGCCATGCTACGCTTTAACCAGAGAGATATAATAAACTTTATTTAATAATACAAGACAATATAGATAGAAGAAATGAGCCAGGTCAAAGACAAACCTTATGATTTAAAAACCTGAATGAGAAAGAGTGGTTTAACAGATCCTCTAAATCTCTTTTACGAGCTGTCATCAACAAAATTATTATAGCCAATTTAATAGCCAACGCACGATAATAGAGCAGTATACAAGAAGAAGACGAGCATTACTAAACTCTCTCTTCAATCCTGACCCCCGGAGGGAGTGTAGTGGTTATCATGATATCGTGTATTGTAATACTCCAAAGATCTCTGTCTGTGGTCATTTCTTTTAACTCATGTATAGGTCTTTTGAGCTATACATGAGTTAAAATGAGTGGATGACACAAGAAATTCTAGATCTGATGGAAGTTCGACGGCAACACAAAAATAGAAATATTATCGAATATCGTAAAATTAATAAACGCATAAAAAGAAAAATTTAGCAAGCCAAAGAATCCTGGCTTGAGACATAGAATAGAAGACATCCAAAAAAAGCATGACAGCTTCAACCTGCACAAGAAACTTAAATATACTGCCGGAATTAGAAAACAGAAAAATGCTCACATACTTAAAAGCGCGGATGGAAAAATTTGTGATCACAAACAACAGTGCAAAGAATGGGAGAGATACATCACTGACCTTTTTGACGATGCTTCTAGAGAAAATGCTCCAAATACTGCCTGTGACAACAAGTTGGACAGAGGTCCCAATATACTGAATTCGTAAGTCGAAAAGGCAATACAGCAAGCCAAAAACAATAAAGCACCTGGACCAGATCAAATTCCTGCCGAACTACTTAAACCTTTGGATGAGGAAAGCATTACCTGCTTAACCACTTTCTTCAACAAAATTTACAACGAAGGAAAAATACCAGATGATTGGTTAGAGTCACTGTTTATAACATTACCAAAGAAAAGCAGGCCCACCAAATGCAGCGATTTTAGACTAATCACTTTGATGAGTCACACACTGAAGATACTCTTACGAATTATACAAAACCGAGTATTCCTTCTATGCGAAAGTAAGATGGGTGATAAGCAATTTGGATTTAGAAACGGTCTAGGAACTAGAGAGGCACTATTCTGTATGTGCGTTCTATTACAAAAAAGTTGTGAATTTCGAAAGAATGTTTATGTTTGTTTCATCGACTTCGAGAAGGCGTTCGAGTCCAACACAATACACTTTTCGACTGCCTACGGGCAGCAGGACTTGGCCACTATGATATAAGACTGCTGAAATACTTATATTACAATTAAGTAGCCTCTATCCAAATTGGAGACAGTCCCACTAAAAAAATACTCATCAAACTATAGGGAGGGTTTGGATGACAGACAAGAGGGAGTAAGACTAGGTGGAGAAGTAATCAATAATATTAGATACGCTGACGATACAGCCATTCTTGCAGAAAGTTAACAAGATCTCCAAACATTACTAAATCTAGTCAGTGAAGCAAGTTATCGGAGAGGCCTAAAAATCAACATTTCAAAGACAAAGTGGATGGCAGTTGGAAAGATCCATATAGATCAAGGTCTGCTTTCTCTTAATGGAGAAGAGATAGAAAGGGTAAATTATTTCAAATACCTTGGCAGCTGGTTAAATGTAAATTGTGACTCTGACGAAGAGATAATATCCAGGATCGAAATATCACGTAAGGCTTTTATGACCTGGAAACCAGTTTTATGCAACAGAAACCTATCAATGAATATTCGTAAGAACGTGCTGAAATGTTATGTGTGGTCGATCCTATTGTATGGTTGTGAGACATGGACGTTAAAAACCACAATGCTAAACAAGTTAGAAGCATTCGAATTGTGGTGCTATAGACGAATCCTAAAGATATCATAAGTTTCGCACACTTCCAATTAAGATGTTCTTCAAATGATCAATTCAGAACATCTGCTCATAAACACCATAAAGAGGAGAAAAACAGAATACTTCGGCCATATAATTAGAGGACCTAAATACCATTTACTTCGCCTTATAATACAAGGAAAAGTGGAAGGAAAGAGATGGATTGGTTGAAAGAAACTTTCATGGCTGCGTAATATTAGACAATGGTGTGGTTTCACAGTAGAAAAATTATTTCGCGCAGCAGCCGACAGAGAAAGGTTTCAGGAAATTGTAAACATGATGACGGCGAACGTCTGAATACGGACACGGCACCCAAAGAAGAAGAAGATAGGTCTTTTGCATATGCTTGTAATTTAATTGATCCATCTTGTTGAAGATCTCCCTCATGGTCTTTTAGCTGTTCTTGAAAGTCTTTCCATTTTTTCTGTGTCTACTCTCATAACATGTCCAAAGTATTTTAATTGTTGGAGAGGCACTTTGCTGAATAGCCGTTTGCTGACTTTAAGCTAATTTAAAATTGAAATATTTGTCCTGTGATCGGTCCACAAAATTCGTAACATTCTTTTTCAACAGAACATTTCGGTGTTGTCTATCTTTCTTTGTTCTGCTTGTCGTGATTCACATCCTCCGTATGCCAGTACGAGGAATATTAAGCAGTTAATCAAAC